AAACAATTGAAGGTCGCAGTGAACATAATTACAAATGGAACACAGAGTGGACAAGGTATCAGATAAAAACAAGGTTGGGGATGGCGGAATGCTCCAAGAGAGCACGTCGGTGGAAGTAGGACGAAAAACAAGAATTGTTTTCCCCGATGAATGGTGGGATGATTGGAAACACGACAAGCGGTGAGTAAAATAACAACAGGCGGCTTGCAGATCGTTGGACGGAAACCGGCACAAGAGCGGATAGGGTGAAGCAGAACTGAGGGAAACAGTCATGGAATATATATGTACTTCACGTTGTGAAACAGATGAGTTCTGAAGGGTCTTGTTCGGATGGTCTCAGGGGCTCCGATCAGCAGTGGATTGATTTGATTTTTTTACGTTATTTAGGCGTTGGTTCTCAGGGGTTCCGATCAGCAGCGGATTGATTTGGGTTATTTACGTTATTTAGGCTTGGTCGCTTTGATGTGGGACTGACTAGACGCTAGGCACCCAACCTTAAAACACCTTGTAGATGAGGCAGGGAGTGCGTTCCTCTACCTAGTCCGGACGCATGTAGTCAAAGCGGTGAATACAGCCGCGCCCAACAACCATTGCCCGTGCCAAATTGTCCGTTGCGGGTGAAGACCCCAAGCCTTCGTCGGGCCCAAACCAACCGGATCTGGAATAGGAAGGCAAACATCGGCAGTCTGGGGTGCAGCCCAGATGAGAAGGGATTAGGAAGAGAAATAACAAGAAGCAAACGATAAATTCTAATCAAGGAGGGTGCTCAGGTCATAATAATGGTAAAAGGATGTTGTCAAAATATGTCTAGTTCTACAGATCCGAAATGGAGGTAGATACGCGTAATGGTAGAACATCAGTTGATAGAGTGGACACAGCTACCTGGTTAGCATGTGCCACGGAGGGGAGCCAATTGAGTTAGAGGAAAACCGGAGCGGATGGATAAGAGGTAAGGAGAGGTGGATCACAATACTTATAAAAGTATGTACCAAAGTAGGTTGTGTTCCACAGATCCAGCTTCAAAGCGCAAACACGAATAAAACAGCGGCATGTGTTCCCCCCCNCCTGCTCGCATGTATTCGTACGAGTCGATTCGGTGCATAAATCTTTACAACAGCCTTACGAAGGCCCCTTTCGTGTCATCTCACTTCACAATAAGACCTTCAAGGTTGATCAACAGGGCCGCATCCATACGATTAGCATAGATGGTCTTAAAACAACATACGTTAACGAAAACGTTATGCGCGCTGCCACTAAAATTTGCGCTAATCGCTCCCAGCCCATGAACGAGAAACCCACCTCACGTTCCGGCTGGCCTTATGCTCGTGTTGTACCAGCCTTAGATGAAGCATCTGCTTTACGTCTTAGCTGTCAGCCTCCACAACTTGCCGCAACTCCGAATGAGATTTTATTCTCACATTCGAGTCGGAAACTATCACTTCCTGCCACGATTTTGGATGAGGCACTCGCTTTGCATTCAGACCGGCAGCCTAGCGCAACGGTTACGACTTCGGACGTGACCCCGGTTTCATGTCCAAGTCCACCAGATGCAGCTTTATCTCGACCATCAAACGAGACTTCCGTCTCACGTTCTGGTCGAAGGATTGTTTTGCCGGCACGTTTTCAAACTTAGGTAAAACGCGATCCTGAAACAGTGCACACTGCACAGCAATGCCATTGCATCGCTTGATATCACAAGTTCTACTCTATATTTGTTTAGCTGTTTGATACTGAAAGCGCACGCATTTTCCTCTCTGCGGTTGCTACACCACGCGTTTCTCTCTTTTTTCATTTTCACATTCATCGAGCCACAAACGCGCCCTAACTACTGCATTTATGGGTACACGTATTCGGCACGAATTTTGGTTCCACCTATGCAGCATACGACTCAGTACGTTATCCACGAGTCCAACGGCACGCCCTTTCAACCACTTGTGATTCCGGTTACCTTAGACATTAGCGTATGTACCTTGACTCGGACGAAGCACGCCAACTGGTCAACCCAGAACACAATCATCGCTGATATTCTGTTCCGATCCCCATAGCGGCAACGCATCTGACTGGACATTGAGTAACTTTAATCCACTGTCCCACTGTCCTCGATGCTGCTCCGACGGCGAACTGCGAACTTTTCTGAACATCATGCACCTCAGCACAGCACCACCTTTATCTTTACCGAAAGTCGTTTCGCACTTTCTAGCGGGGGACTGCTGTAGCGAAACTGAATGTACAGTGAAAGCCGGAAAATAGCAGACATTTGCCGGACACCACTTTTCACCCACAATCTAAATGTACGTTCACATTTTCTCTTCAGTACCAACACCATATGACGTTTGTTTTATACGACTGAAAACTACCGTATCCTTCGGTGAAGGGAACTTACACTTTTTTTGCTTTTGCTCCGTTTTGCTCGTTATCTCGCTCGTTGGTTTGATTGCCTTCGTGCTTTAAGTTAAACGTTCGTTAGCCAGTACCGGTGCGTTCTCCGTGCCACGGTACCTCAGTAAACGTCTACAACCACAAGTCTTCTGGTTTAACCAGCTGTAACTTGGTTGTGCTTTGA